GGGGGGGGGGGGGGAATAGCAGCCAGGTGGGACCCTGGGAACCACAATTTAATCTCTTGGGGGGAGGGGGCTGCATGTGGCTCATGGGTCACCAGTTGGACAGCCCTTGTTTATGGAACATTTCTGCAGCATGTGCCTGCTCTAGTAACTCTTCATTTTCACAGTCACTAACATTTATCCATGAATTTTTTTAAGAGTGGTTCCCTCTGACTGTGGGCCAGTTTGCAATTTCAGCTCTGCACCATGAAATTGTCTCACTTGTCCATCTATTTGGTTATTTTAAGTACTTCTTTGGTTCTCCTCACCATAGTATTCAGCACGTGCATTCTCAAAGTGTGAGACATACATAGTCCTGCTGTCTGGTGTGGGGATGGAGGATGGTTAGAAGTAAGTAGAAAATCAAGGCATGACAGTGTTAAGACTGATGGAACAGGAAGATCTGAGGAGTAGGTAGGCTGTATAATGAAACAGGGAAAGGGATGACAGGTAAAAAGATTAATTTATAATCAAAGCTTAATTTTACTAGGTTGTGGGACTTTTATTGTAAGTGTCTGTCTAGATGGGCAGGTAGTGTAAAAAAAAAAAAAAAAGAAGGTAATATGGCACTACCGTGAAGTCAGAGACGGAATGGAAATAAAGTAGAACAAGGGCAGTAAGAGAAAGGATAAAGAAACGGAAAATCTCATTAGAAAATCTTGTAGAAAAGACCTCAATTAAAACAGTAGTGCTACTGCTATCATGCCCCTCCATCACAGCAGCCTGCCAATGACTGCTTTGTTACAATAACAGTAGAGGTGGGAAGGAATTTGCAGATGTGCTTCTTTAGTTAAAGTAAATCAAGCACTTAAAGCTTGTAGTAATAGGCTTACGAAACCCTACCAGGCTAACCTCTTGAATTTGGGATTCAGAGAGTTCAGTACCCAGTTCTGGAATGATGGTGGCTGCAAGCTGGGAGGTGATAGGCAAGATAGACATGAAGACAGCCTGAAAGCTATATCAAGGATGAAAAGAAATCCTCTCCCACCAGAGGAATACTTTGCTCTCCCTTTTGCCTACCTTGATATGATATTATTTTCCTTCTCAATAATGACAAGAGCTACCACAAACACGAGTAGAATGGCATACTTGCTCCTCATTCTCAAACAATGTAACAGTTCCCGGAAATCCTGGGGTAAAGCGTGCCCTTTATCCATGAGGAGTAATGGAAGAGTCCAAGACTGTCATCAGAAAGGCCCTCCCCTTTGAAGGAGAATAAAGAAGGTCTTCTTCAGCCCCTGATGCTCTGCAGCTATTGAGAGAGTGTATGTTCCAATCTTCCAGTGTTTCCTTATCATGTGGGTGATGCTTTACCTTGCAGAGAGACAAAAATAAGAAGTGTAAGGGTTGACAATTAGAATACTGGTAGTTTGAAATAAACCAATTTAAGACTGACTTTTGATAGGTCAGTATTTTTCATATGGTAGGAGTTTTAATTAGATTCCAAGATTATACAAAATGTTGATCCAAGGAAATATCCACTGAGATTGAATCCATCTAATCATTGTCATTTCCTCCAGTATCTGCACAGAAATCTAAAATGGGCTATATCACACAAGCACAAAGCATTCTTCCCTCCTTTTTGCCCTTTGATGACCCACAGTCAATAAAGCATCTCTTCACTCTCAAGGGAATTGCCGAGAGTGTACGGGCTACATCAAGTCCCTGAAAACAATTCCCTTGCGCTGTAGGAAAAGCATTTTAGCTAATGCTGATGCTTACAACTGCCAATTCACAATTTAATAGACTCATTCCTTCTGCCATGTCCACAAATGCTATCCATGGCAACCAAAACTACTGTCACACACTGCTTACTAAACATGTTTAAAAAAGTGGACTGTAAACCATCCCTTGTTTGGCCAGGCTGTTTAGACTCTGTGCATCTCAAGATAAGAACTGTAGGTCTGGTTCTGCTTTTACTTAGTACTGCAAATCAGGAGTAATTCAACTGAAGTCAATGGACTATTATAATATAGTTCAGAGAATGAGCATATTGTGCCACAAGCCACAACTGGGAATAAGTAACAAACTTCCACACTTTTTCTGTGGAGAGGACAAGGAGGGCCAATAACTGTCCCTCTAACCACTTTCTCAGCCCGTCAGGTCAGTTTTGAGGCACACTAGAATGCTGGAGGCCTTGTTTTCACTGTAGTGCATGTTCCCAATAGGAAACTTACCTTCCTTTCCCAAATGGGCTTTTATCAGGTGCACTTGTGGGAGAATCCTCAGCATTTCCCTATGGCCTTTCTGGTCTTTCTGTCATTTCAGATCTTAAATTCAAGTGGCCAGTTTCAGGCCTGATGTACCTACACACTGAAACAGAGGGATGGTTTGGTTCAACTGCTTTGTGTTATTCCAGTAGAATGGAACAAAGCAAAGGCCCTAGACAAGAAGAGGGAAATGAACAACCTAGGGAAGGAGAAGGAGAGACAGTGCTGCAGTGCATCGAGTGTGCTTCCTGTCACCTGACAACAACTGCTGTGATGCAGTAACAGCAGAGGTGGGAAGGAATTTGTGTACGTGATCCTTCCCTTAAACTGAGTCAAGCACTTCAGAACTTGCTCTGTTGTGAACACATGGCTTTCTCTGTGGTCCCTGGAGAGTGCTCCTTCAACAACTGGGGAAACATCTTCTGCTATCAACATCTGGAGAGCTGGTGTCTACATCAAAGGCCTGAAGATGATTCTCTTACTGTATGAATGAAATTTCAAGCAACTTAGAGTAATAAAGATGCAGGGGGGTCCCTTCTCTTTATAACCTCCATCCTGCCCAGGAAGAACAGCTGTTGAGAGTATCCATCAACCTCTGCCCCTCATATCTCCCTGTTCCCAAAATAAATCTTTTAAAAGAGACCCCTTGCTGCACTTCCCTTCTGGCTGGCTTCCTTCCCCTCCCTCCCCCTCTCCAGAGTCTCTGTTCCCAGCTCTGAAATACAATCTTCTACATTTTATGAGCACAGCTTGCCATTCCAACAGCTGCTCATTTGCACTCTCCCAAAAGCTTCCCTACTGAACTGCCAATAAGGTGGTGGAGCAATGGGGCAGGATGCCCTGACAGCATCATGCCAGAATGAAATCAACAAGGGAAGGAAGCTGTGTCCCCTTTCATCTTGCCAGTGTCCTGCAGTTATCACCTCTCTGGAAGGAAACTAAGAGGACAGGCTATTTTCTTTACTGTATGATTTGATGGAAGAGCACCAGATCCAACAAATTCAGTATTCATGTGCAGGCCCTGAACTCTTCACACCTGTCTGCCATGACTAGCTGTCATTACCGATACTCTGCATACCTGTGGGGCTAACGAAATTCCTTTAGATTATTCATTATTCCTGCCTGTGATGATTAGTTTGTTCCCCAGATCCATCTTTGTGGGCAATTATTTTTAAAGGAAGTTTTACAAATACAACCACTACAATGAAACGAAGAGAATGACAATAAACGTCTGGGTTCAAATCCTTCTCTTGATTTCCAACCCACCATCTTCATATCCTGTGAAATTTCAGCAACTCTTTGACAGTTGAATGAACAAGGTCCTCTTCAGAGTTTACTTTTTCTTAGTGAAGATTAAAGGATGTCTGGGCATTTTCTCTTTGTTTTTTGTTTTAGAAGGGCCAGGGTGTCTAATTTGATCCTAGTCTGTGTTGGGTGACAGAGGAGAAGAAGCTAGTAAAGCAGTGGGCCAAAAATGTGCTTAAGGGCCCACTCCTCTACAGAAGAGAACATGAAACCCCCTGCAGTTGCTGTTTTACAAAGATTTTTGTTTTGTTGCTAAACTCTGAAAATCATTCTGCTTGGCTGGGTGTGGTTTTTGTTGGGGGGTTTTGGGGTTTGTTTGTTTTTTTGGGGGGCGGGGGGAGGGTTGGCAAATGGGTAGTCTTGTTCTTCGTTACTAGTTTTCTTCCAAATTACTAATGAGCAAAGACTTTCTATTCTGGACTGGCTGCAGACCAGTCCCCCAGCCCCCCGCCCCCCTTCTTCATGTATGCTGTAGCTTCATATTAATTTCTAAGCTATGTGGTTATGATGATTTCCTCTATCATAGGAAATGTTTCAGTTTTGACTAATGTCAAAAGGTAAAGACACTTTGTTTTCTTGTGGCTGGGGGCAGGGTTCAGACTCTGATGGTACTAGTACATTTGGTCGGCATTGTTTATTTCATAATAAATTTCAGGCTCCTTTTACGTTCTACAAACAATAAATACAACTGCTGCTGTCAGCAGGTGACAAAACCATAGGTACCTTCACTTAGTGTTAATATGTTTTTAGGTTTTATTATTCATTGACTCACATCTTGTTCAGTCATTTCTATCAGGGCCCTAGGCATACATGGTAGGTATAAAACACTACCAGACCAAAATAGATTCCTTTTACACCCTCTCTGCACTAGTAAAAATTAATAATCAAGGTTCACGACAACTGAGATTCATATTCTCAGTGGTTAAAACTAAAATAAAAGAAGGCTGTGTATCATGGTATTCAGATGAAGAATTACACTACTGCACTAGGAAGGTGAAGAGAATCAGAACCTTGGTTCTCATTAATCAACTCTGTTTTATCTGTCCAGTCCTATCCTGTGGTTAGCGGAAGTTAAACTGAGGTGGTTTATACTTGAATGAAAGATTACACTTCTGTGGTTTAGCTCCATTTACTGTGGAACTGGAATGGACAGAATAAACAATTACTGTACAATAGATCAGCTGATGCACTCTAGGTCTTCCCCCACACTGATTTAAAGCAGTATAACTGTATGTCCATACTGCAGAATTGGCCTGAGCGCGCCATAACTAGATCTTTTTAAAGAAGGGTATCTGTTGGAAGAGGTGTTACATGGGTCTTCCTATCTGAAGCAGGGAGCTAGACTAGAAATCAGTGTTTCCCATGCTATGGTCTATGAGGCCATGGTAAGTGATCTGATTTGACTCTCCAATTAAAAGTTTCATGAGAAGAATGCATAAAGGTTTTCAAGAAATTTTGAAGGTTGACCATGGTTCACTTGTCCAGGAAGTATGGGAACTAAATAGTATAGAAATGAGACTAGATAATATGGAAATCCCTTCTGACTGCATCAGCTAGAGTTGACAAACTTATATGAGCTAAATGCAGAAAGGCAGGTACAAAAATCAGGATTATAGTGAGAAAGCGCAATCCATAATGAAGATACTTTTTAGTCAGTTTGGTTTGAGGGTGTACAGCAAAACCTTTTTCAGATATTTTTGGTAATGGTTTCTCATGTGTGTTTCCTGTAGGGAAAACTGTGAAATGTAATAATGAATGATAACCTTTCTGAAGGCTTTGGGAACTGTCATGTATCACTAAATAGGAATATATATCACTGTCTATAAACGGTAAAGGATACTTTAAAAATGCATGGGAAGGATGTGATTCTCTATTAAATTCTTTATAACACTATTTATGTTATACCTATTAAACTGTGTAGCACTTAAGGTTGAACTCCACGTGAGAAAGGGCTAGGACTGGTTCACTTAAAAGGTGGAGGAATTTGAATCAGGACAAAGGATCAGGCTATATAATTCTGAAATTCTGGAGTGGTAGACATGACTACAGGATTATTTCTGATGCAGCTGGTAAGTCAGTGCTTCGCTTGCTATTACAGGTGGCTGTGCTACATTTATGAAATCAGTGGCACTTCTGTTATAAGTCCTTGATTGGCAGTCACCCGTAACTTCCTTAGAAATTTACCCATGGGCTGCAGTTTCCATTGTTTAAAGCAGCCCATCTGCTCTTGGGTACCTTCTGAACTTCTGCCTCAGATATAATCAGAGCTGCATTATTCCAGTCCACCCCTCAGCCACAGCACAGAGGTAGAGGCATAAAATTCATTTGTAGTCTACAATTAAAGTACTTGGTGGGGGTTAGCCTATAGGTCCTTCCAATTCTTGTAAGCAAGGTTTTAAGTTTTGAAACCAACTTTCAGCCTTTCTATTAGTCATCTGTATTGTTTTTATAACATAATTCCAGTAGCAAAAGATCCTGTTGCAAAGAACATGTTATAGAGGCAGGCAGCATAATTACATTTAAAGAGACAGTACCATATATTATCACTAACACACAATACATCACATGTAGGGAGACAAGCAAGTACCAGATACTTTTCCAACCAGAACTCAGACTACCTTGCCTGTTGTGCAGCTAAAATCTCAACATTAAAGTCTCAGTAGCTATATTTTGCATATACTTAATTCCAAGTATTTCTGGTATCCTGAGGAAAATGCAAAAAAACCCCCCAAAAAACAACCACCCGAGGGACACCCATGGTGGGAATTAAACCCATCCAGTCTGTGGAATCACAAACATATAGTATAATTTCATACCTAAAATTCAAAGAGAAAAGTTAGACCAATAAGAGCACATATCTGAATGGGCTATAAAGAGGTCTTTACCTTTTAACCCCCTTTCTCCCTTAAATTCAATGTTGTCATAGCCAACAAAAAAAAAAATCCAATCCCTTTTCCATACCGACAGTGAGCCTTATGCTCACAATTCTCACCCTACAAATGGGCCTTATGTCTTCTTTCCTTCCTATTTGTTACAGTAAGAAACCTGTTGTTGTAAATAGTTCTTGCATTCCCTCTCATAGGTTGATCTTTAGTCTTTGAAAAAATGTAGTTTTTGAAACATATTAGTCAAGCATGTATAAAGTAGCATAGCAACCCCAAGTTCAGCACCCTGTCTTGGTGGGTTGGACTTTCTTTTTTGTATTGTTGTCTCTGAGGTAGGTCACCCACAAATAGTCATTTAAAAAATGAGAGAAAGAGATTTAAGTGTTACATTTCTTATTTTGGGTTATCACTGAGTGCATTATGCTCCCTGTTGCTTCACCCCCTGGTATGGTCTCCTCTTTATTCTAGAAATATAGAAGGCAAGTTCACTAGCTCCCTAGCTTCCACATGCACACACGTGCTCAGGCTCACACACGCAGATATAATCACTCACTTCCCCAATGTTGTCTGAGTTCAGTAGAAAATATCTAACACATCAATGAAGATATTGTAGTTCCTGAATCCCAACCATGACATGATAAATGGATTTATTGCAATCCAGTTCAAAAAAGAGAGTAAGAAAACCTGCAAAATAACACATTCACTGTACACTTGATTTTTAGAGCTCAACTCACAGTGTTTAACAGGCACTGGCTTGTACAGTAGATTCTACACTGCTACCATGAGAGATTAAGGGATATGTTAGTGTTAGGATCAAATCTCCATTGGTACAGCTGGGGTCCAGTGATGAAGAGATGTTGTAGAACTTTAGGACTAGGAGAAAATGACGACAGAATTCCCCTCAAAGGCAAGAGCTTAACTCACAGTGTGAAACAGCTGACATGAGGACAAGTTTAAGGTGAGACAGGTTGTTTATGGTGGGTTCAATCTTAATTAATTCTGAGCTGCTCCTTTGATTCAGAAGAACAGCACTTGGGATGTAACATAAACAGATCAGCAAAAGCCCTGTGTTTTATTTCATTCACAATCTTGCCAGAACATGTCTTGTTCAGGTAGCAGATAAAACAGAACTAAGGATAGAAAATTAATTTCAAACTCTGGTTCCCTTCACAGTAATAGTACAGTAGTGGCAAATCTCCTCCTCAGCTTTGAAAAGTACAAGCAGGAGTTAGCTGGGAAATTTGCAGTTCAGAAGCAAGTTACTGCACTCAGAGAAGGGAGTGCATATCCCATCCCTTGAAAACCTTTTGAACTGGTATTGTTCCTCTACTCCTATATTCTCCTGGCCCAGTCTGCAGGTCCAAGAGAATTTCATAGATAAGTAGCCATGCTGACCTCTGTCTAACGACAGACCTCTTATTAACATATCACTTCTCCCAAACTTTCCTAAGAACTGTTAAATTTTGCAGTGGCTAACAGTCCAACACCATCTGAGGCAGTTTAATCTGATGCTTTGATTTGGGATCCTCATTTTTCCCAGTGGGGAGTTCTGCGCAAGTAACCAGGTCACTTGCTTGCTTGTTCCTTGGGTCACGCTTTCCTCTGAATGTACTTTAAAAGTATAGGTAGGTGAACTAGTTATTGTGAAGTAAAAGGAGGCAGAGGTTTACTACATGTTGGCCATTTTATGGCAACTCCCTATGTGCATGGTCTTCTCTTATGCTAGATGAATGGTAAACTGCAGTAGTTTAGCCCCATTGAATCTTTGAACCAGAGGGGAGCAGCAGCTGCCAAACATTTCCAGTAGCCTTGCCAAGAGCTCGGGAGGCAGCATTCCCATGTTCCCTGGTAGGCAAATTCCAGTCCCCGCCCAAGATACTTAAAGCTTCTTCATGCTGTCCTAGCCAGGGACTCCACAATTCAGTAGCCACCCTCAGCCACGGAGCGAGATGAATTCTTCCTGTTCATTCAGCCCCAGGGGAGCCCTCACATTGGTGCTCCCAAGATGCTGAACAGAACTGTTCCCATCCTGGAACATTCTGTACAGAGATTCTCCAGCTCCTTGTCACTGCTTCCTTAGCATGCCCAGGAGGCAGTCTCTTTCTGCACCACCCCCTGAATAGCCATGACTTCCTGTATTGCATTCTGACCCTCTTGAAGAGGAGCAGCTCCAGCAGCTGCCAGGTGGGCCAGTTTCAGCTGAAAATCAAGAAAAAGGAATGTGTGAAGGAAAACAGCTGTTATAGCAAAAGACAAGGGCCTGATCTATGACATGCGACTCCAGCTGTCTTCAGCAAAACAGCACAGTGTGAAAACCTGCACATCTCCAAGAAACATGTTTCTTTGACTATAAAAACACAGGATCAGATCTGTAGCTATATCACCAGTTATTTAAATGATGCCCTTACAGCCTGTCATCACAAATGACAGAAAATGACATCACAATTAGCACTTAATGCAATCCTGTACAATCTTGTATGTAAGGATTAGAAATTCTACAAAATGGATCAAGTTCAGACGTTTCAATAACAAGAGCCTTCCTTACCATATATGTCTTACTGGACGCATCTACCTATGTGCTTTAAGGTGCATTAGCCTATTTTAATGCATGTTAAAGTGTCACAAAAAAGTGTTCTCTAATTAATGTGCCTTAAAATAAGTAACACACCTTTTTCTAGTACAGGCACTCCTCACTTAACGACCGAGTTCCGTTCCTGCTACTAGGTCGTTAAGCAAATTGGTCGATAAGCGAGGAACTGCCCCTTGATACTGCGTGCCTTGGCTTGAGACGCCGCGCTGCCGTTTCCACAATACGTTTCGTACAATACCGACTGCTTGGAGAGCTGGTCATAAGTCCGCGCAGCCGTTAAACAGGTAGGTCGTTAAGTGAGGAGTACCTGTACCTCACAATGTAGGGCTCCTCTACACGTGTGGAGCCTGCTCCAATGTGCTGGAAATCCAGTGCATTGAAGCAGACTTGATTGAGTCTGCTGGAGTACAGAAATTGACACGCTCCACATCCTTCTGCATCATGTGTATCAGCATCCCCATGCTGAAAAAAAATGGTGGTGGTGTGCTTTGAAATAAAATGTGTTCAATGAGCTTTAGTTCAAAGCACCCTGCTGCCATTTTTTCAGCACAGGGACACTGATACACGTGATGCATGGATGCTTTTAATTTGCATGGCTTGCTAACTGAAGCACCCGGTGCCGCCCAGATGGTAGCCCGGGGTGTTGGCACTGGATTTGGACCCAGCCCTTATACACCTTTGTTCCAGGCGAGCACAACCCTCAGCTCGACCACACCTGTCAGTT